GGAAGAGTTCTGTGATTCTCATTATGCTTCACATTTGGAACTGAAATAGCTGTTACGTTTTGCCATTGTTTTGGCCCAGCCCTCCGTGCCTCTTCTTTCCCTGTTCCTGTTGTCCTGGTTCAGACTTCAGATTTCCTCTGATAGGCCTGGTTTAGCTTCTGAAGAGCCCTTCAGCCTCTTGCCTACACTGCCGACAGAGTGATTTTTCTGAGATACAGATATGATCATGTCACTCCCTGCTTAGAAGTCCTCAGTGATTTTTCCCTTTCTCCTTCCAGCACATCATCTCTACTCCGTAGCCTGAAGCCTTCATGAGATGGTTCTGCCTGCTTTTCCAGTCTCATCTTACTGGGCCATTCTCCCCTTCTGATTCTCTCTTTCAACCACACTGCTCCCTAAATCCTACTATTGCTAAGTCTTAAATGACGGCTGTCTTTGACAGTTATCAGTGGAAAAAACAAAAACCTTCCTTTGCATATTAACTTATTGGAGATATTTAAAGCTAAGTTAACAAAGCTCCATTATTGAGAGGCCATTCATTGATCTCATTGTACAAATTGGTTACTTACATTGCTTACTATGTGTAAATGAAATATATAGTGCATCAAATTTGGCATTTGCTCCCACTATCCTTTAAGATATTCTATAGAACAAAACATACAAATAAGCAAACTTGGCCCTAGTAGTTAATACAATTCTTATTTAAGTATCCTAATATTTATAGTAAGGAATGATTTACTTTTTAAATATATAGCTTATTTTTATTTTATTTTCCTAATCAACATACTAGTTTTGTGAATTTGATTATGCAAATTATGTAATTTACTAAGACTGTTTTATAGAAAAATATTGGATATCACTGTCTTTTTTTTTTAAATGTTTTTATTTATTTTTGAGACAGAGAGAGACAGAGCATGAGCAGGGGAGGGGCAGAGAGAGAGGGGGACACAGAATCCGAAGCAGCTCCAGGCTCTGAGCTGTCAGCACAGAGCCTGACGCGGGGCTCGAACTCACAGACTGTGAGATCATGACCTGAGCCGAAGTCGGATGCTTAACTGCTTAACCGACTGAGCCACCCAGGCGCCCCTGGATATCATTGTCTTATCTCTTTATCCAATTTTCTCTCTCCTTGGGAATCTGTATTCTAATTCTACTAGAGATTAGAATTGATAACTGTTAAATGGCTTTATTGATAGGATCAGTTAGTTGTTATTTTTTATTATTTGGAGATTCCACATATGAACTGAGCAATGTTCTTTGGGACCTTCTTTTATTGAGAAGGGGTAGAGGAAGCAAGAGGAAAATAAAATATTGAGTCTTTCCTGGATTGCTAGGACATCAAATATTTCCTTAAAGTACACTTAGTTTTTCTCTTTAACATTAATTTCCTCTGCTTAGGTGAGTTGCTTCTAAAGCTATTGAATTTCATTCAGCATATATCTGTAAAAGTCAAGAAGATAATGTCAGCCACAAAAGGTTGGTGTGAAAACAGCCTGTGTTAGGTATAACACACTTACTGTCACAGGATAGATTCTTAATAAGTGATAGCTACTATACTGAGAGACTTTGATATAAGGTGATTTAAGGGTAGAGAGTTCAGAGTCATTCAGAGTTTGAATCCCCACTTACCAGCTTTGTGGCTGTGGGCTTGGCACTTCAGTTTCCTCATTCACAAAGTGGGGTGTAAATACATACCTCATAGGAATGTTATATTAAGGTACTTAATACAGCACCAAGCCTATAGCAAGTACTCAATAAATGACTTATTTTACTATGTTATCACAGGAATAGTCATTTCTTGAGCCACTCATCACATCATAGGTTTTGTACAAGACCCTACATGATCCTGTTTATGATTCTGAAAACAGATTCATATCCTACATCCATTAGAAAACTACTTTACAGAGGTGCCTGGGGGGCTCAGTCAGTTAAGCATCTGACTCTTGATTTCAGCTCAGTTCATAGTCCCATGGTTCGTGGGATCGAGCCCCGTGTCAGGCTCTGTGCTGACAGTGCAGAGCCTACTTGGGATTCTGTCTCTCCCTCTCTCTGTCTCTGCCCCTTCCCTGCTCATGTGCTCTCTCTTTCTCTCTCTCTCAAGATAAATAAATAAACATAAAAAAAGAAGACTACTTTAGTTAGGCAATATGTTTAATGGGCTGGATTATATAGACTAATCCTAACTCAGAAATACTAATTAGTCTTCACTGAGCCTAAGTGTAGGCAATGAGGAAGTAAAATTTCTACTTGTCCCCATTAGAATGAGTCAGATGGCCCCACTTGTCTGTAAAAGAGTAGGGAAAGTGGGAGCGTGAATCCATGGTAATTGTAAATGTTTCTGCTACATGTTATATGAGCAGATTCTGAAAAGGCAAATGGAGGTCAGTTTGGTGAATGAGGAAGGAGGAGAAGAAAAAAAGAAACTGAAAGACAAATTAAAGGAGCAATATTCCATAGTATATATACACCACATCTTCTTTATCCATTCATCAATCAACGGACACGTGGGCTTTTTCCATAATTTGACTATTGTAGATAATGTGCCATAAACATCAAGGTGTAGGTACCCCTTTGAATTAGTATTTTTGTATTCTCTGGGTAAATACATAGTGCAGTTGCTGGATCGTACGGTAGTTCTATTTTTAACTTAAAAAATTTTTCTTAATGTTTATTTTTGAGAGAAAGACAGAATGCAAATGGGGGAGGGGCAGAGAGAGGGAGACACAAAAAAAAAAAAAAAAAAATATGCTGCCTGCATGATGTAAGTAAGTGGGAGTGATGGATCCCTAGGCGTGGTGACTCTCCAATGGAGGCTGTCTGTTTCATCGGCGCTGGGAGCCCACAGACAGACCCCACAACCCGATGAGGATCATGACCCTGAGCTGAGTCAGACACCAACCTGAGTAGCCACCACCTGAGACCTCTTTTGAAGCCTCCATACTGTTTTCCAGAGTGGCTGCACCAGTTTGCAACAGTACAAGAGAGTTCCCCTTTCTCCACATCTCACCAACACCTATTGTTTCTTGTGTTGTTAATTGTAGCCATTGTAACAGGTGTGAGGTGGTATCTCATTGTAGTTTTGGTCTGCATTTCCTTCATCTTGAGTGCTGTTGAGCATCTTTTCATGTGTCTGTTGGCCATCAGTATGTCTTCTTTGGAAAAATGCCTCTTCATGTCTTCTGCCCATTTTTAAATTGGATTATTCATTTTTTGGGTGCTGAGTTTTAGAAATTCTTTATATATTTTAGATACTAACCCTTTATCAGATATGTTGTTTGAAAATATTTTCTCCCATTTTGTAGCTTGCCTTTTAGTTTTGTTGTTTATTTTCTTCCCTGTGCATAAACTTTTTTATTTTGATACAGTCCCAATAGCTTATTTTTGCTTTTGCGTCCCTTCCGGAGACGTATCTAGAAAGAAGTTGCTGCAGCTGATGTCAAAGAAGTTACTGCCTGTGTTCTCATCTAGGATTTTAATGGTTTCCTGTCTCACATTTAGGTCTTTAATCCATTTTGAATTTATTTTTGTATATGGTGTAAGAAAGTGGTCCAGTTTCATTCTTTTGCATGTTGCTGTCCAATTTTCCCAGCACCATTTGTTGAAGGGACAGTCTTTTTCCCATTGGATATTCTTTCTTGCTTTGTTGAAGATTAACTGACCATATGGTTGTGGGTTCATTTCTGGGTTTTCTTGAAGTCTAGAATTGTGTCTCCTTCAGCTTTGCTTTGTTTTTCAAGATTGCTTTGGCTATTTGGGGTCTTTTGTGGGTCCATACAAAATTTAGGATCGTTTGTTCTAGCTCTGTGAAGAATGCTGTTGGTGTTTTGATAGGGATTGCATAAATATGTAGATTGCTTTGGGTAGTACAGACATTTTAACAATATTTGTTCTTCCTGTCCACAAGCATGGAATGTCTTTCCATTCCCTTGTGTCATCTTCAATTTCTTTCAGCAGTGTTTGGTAGTTTTCAGAGTAGAGGCTTTCACTTCTTTGATTAGGCTTATTCCTAGGTATCTTATTATTTTTGGTGCAGTTGTAAATGGGATCGATCCCTTAATTTCTCTTTCTATTGCTTCATTATTGGTGTGTAGAAATGCAACAGATTTCTGTATGTTGATTTTCTGTCCTGCAACTTCTGAATTCGTTTTTCAGTTCTAGCAGTTTTTTTGGTGGAGTCTTTCAGGTTTTTTATATATAGTATCATGTCTTTTGCAAATAGTGAAGGTTTTACATCTTCCCTGCTGATTTGGATGTCTTTTGTTTCTTTCTGTTGTGTGATTGCTGAGGCTAGGACTTCCAGTATTATGTTGAATAAAAGTGGTGAGAGCACACATCCCTCTCTTGTTCCTGACCGTAGAGGAAAAGCTCTCAGTTTTTCCCCATTTGGGATGATATTAGCTGTGAGTTTTTCACATATGACCTTTATTATGTTAGCATTATCTTTTTAAATTCTGGCACACCCAAGGTATAGTCACAGTGCTTGAAAAGAAATGAACTCTAATAACAGGTTTATCTTTTTGCCTGAACTTTTCAAGTTGCTGCATCAAAAGACAACAAAACCTTCAATGAATTGATGTGTGAAGTATCACATGCATGTTACCTATTGGAAATAATATTTGTGGAGCTCATAAAAATAAAGTTATCTAAATACAAAATGAAAAGAGCAGTTAACATGAATGGAGCGTGTTGTGCGAGGAGCTATGCCGGTTACTTTCTGTGCATTATCTCAGTGAAACCTCACAGTAACCCTGTGAGGAAGATACTGTTAATACCCCTGTTTCCAAACTCTGTCAGTTTATAGCATGATATGACTATTTTCATTGTATATTTAAAACAATTTGGTCCTAGAAAAGGTAAGTCAATGTTATATATTTTGTCTATTATCATACATCTATCATCAAATTAAAATCTCTGTTATAAGTGTTTATGATTTCTGCAATAAAATAATTTAAATATAGCCAGTGGGAATTGTGCTGCAATGTTAATTTTTCTGTTTTTAGGGTTTGGACAGAGGATCCAAAGGCCAAATTTCCACTTTTAGCAGTTTTATTTCAACTGTTAACCAGAAGAAAGAAGCTGCTGAAAACAGAAGTTCACCTACACATCTTGTTTTCCCTAACATCAAGAATGGTAAATTAATAATAATTAAAAGTACACATAGTCTGGATATTTTGGTTGAAAGTATATTATCAAACTATTAAAGAGTCATCTGGTAGGTGAAGTTAATTAATACAGTATGAAAAAGAAATAAGCTGTATAAATATTTACAGAAAGAAGCAAAATTGTTATTGTAGGTGATTGTTACATAGGGTAAGGTATGAATGACATATAAATCTCATGAATAATAACGTTTGGCTAGACAGCCGGATACAAAACAAATATACGAAAATTCACTAGATTTCCTTTATTTGAGGAATAATCAATTAGAAGACTTGATGGAAAACAATGAAATACTTAGAAATAAACCTAAAAGGAAACAAGCAAAACCTATGTGAAGAAAAGTGTAATACTTTATCAAAAGACTAAAAGGTCGTGGGATGGAAAAATGTCGTGAATATCATAAAGATGTCAGGTATACCTGGTTTACTCTCTACATTTAATCAAATTTTGGGCAGTTCTTTGGGGGGGGACCTTAAGAAAATGGTACCCTATGTGATCTAGAAGAGTCATTGTCCAAGAAAATGCAAGCAAAAACACTGAGGAAGCCCGTTCCTCCAGAGGACACATATTATAAAGCTATTCTACTTGCATCAAAAGTAGCCAAATGGACAGTAAAAATGCAGTGTATAAGTGGTATTCAGCTGTTCAAAAAATGGAATCAGGATGACTGGTTAACCTATCAAAAATAATAACTTGAGATTTTTAAAACTAAAAAATACCAGAAGAAAAGGCAGGAGGTTGTTTCTATACGGTCTCCTGGCATGACAACAATGCCAAGAGCCATAAAACAAAAAATTGACAAGTTTGAGTACATAAGAAAATTTAAAACTTCCGTAGGAATTTTTAAAAGTCATAAAGTTAAAATATAAATGTCTATAAATGTCACAGTTGGTGAAAAACATATCCTTAATCATAAAGATTATGAATAAATCAATAAAAGGAATATTCCAATAAAAAAAAGGCGAGGGGTATGAGCAGACCAGTCAAAAGAGGAGATATGAGCAGTTAACACGCATGTGAAAGGATGCTCAGTCTCACTTGTATTTAAAGAAGTACAAATTATAACAAGAATTTAACATTTTCCTCTTCAGTTGCAAAGAGTGAAAGGATTTATATCTGTGATGTTGTCTAGGGAGTGTGAAAATTGGCACTTTTATGAATGGATGGCTTGGAATACTATGCCTCTATTAAGAAAAATGTGATATGTATATAAAGTGTCTAGGAGAAAGAGCCACACAATACACTGTAAAATGAAAAACCCAAGTTACCCATAATACGACTCCAATTTTCTAAGAATAGGGAAACCTTTTTTACTTCTTTGAGCATATGAAGAGGCATGGAAGGATGCCCACCAATCAGTTAATGGTTTTCTCAGAAAAGTAGAATTGGGTGTATATTATAAATATGCTTTATTTCTTTATACAACTCTGTATTGTTTTGTCACAGGAAACATCCATTACTTGCATAATTTTGAGTTCCCCTGGCCTGTAACAAAAGAAATCTGCAAAGGTTTAAATGTCCCTTGCATCTAAACAAAAGAAAACAAACCTAGAAATGTTTAAGGACACAGTTTTTGGTAAATTATTGTGTCCATCAGGTGCATGTGACATAAATTATTCTTTTTTTTAAAATGATTATTTATTTTTGAGAGAGAGAGAGAGAGAGAGAGAGAGAGAGAGCGCGCGCACGCCAGGGAGGGGCAGAGAGAGAGAGAGGGAGATACAGAATCCAAAACAGGCTCCAGGCTCTGAGCTGTCAGCATAGAGCCCGACTTGGGGCTCGAACTCATGAACCATGAGATCATGACCTGAGCCAAAGTTGGACACTTAACCGACTGAGCCATCCAGGCACCCCTGGCATAAATTATTCTTACACAGATTTTTAGGTGACATTCCACACTAGTGCTCGACCTGTTGATTTACACTTTTACTTAATTTACACAATAATTTACACTTTTGCAGGTTAGTATTTACATTATCTGATTTATCAACCTTTGCCTTTGATAACTTCTTTTTTCCTTTATTTATATACTCAACAGTGTGCACACATACATAAATTCATATTCTGTCATCTCAGGCTTACTCCAAGGAGGCACTTGTGCCCTTTATGTCACAGTCCCCTAGCCCACAACAAAATAAAATAAACCTGTAGTTTGGTACCATTAAACAAAGAAAATGAGCCTATTTGATGAGGGAGTGGAGTTGAGAGAAATGATATGTATATGAGACATGTTAACTGCATACCAGCTATAAATTTTATTTGTGTATTATTTGTGTATACATTATTTTATTTGAGCCTCACAACAGTCACATAAAATAGAATAGATATTAGAATCCCTGTTGTATTAGTTATCTATTGCTGTATAACAAATTACCATAAACCTAATTGTTTTAAACAACACCTATTTATTAGCTGATGGCTCTTTAAGTCAGAGGTCTTGGTGGGTGAGCAGGGTTTTCTACTCAGAGCCTCACAAGGTGTTGGCTGGGCTAGACCCTGGGGAAGAATCCTTCAGGCACCTTCAGGTTGCTGGCAGAATTCATTGTTTGCAGTTGTAAGGCCAACGTCCCGCCTCCCTGGTGGCCATAAGCCAGGGATGCTCTCAGCTTCTAGAGACCACTTGCACCCTCCACCTCCGCTCATAGACCCTGGAGTATCACAGCTTCCTGTTTTAAGGCTGGCAGCCGGCGCCCTTGTGTTGAATCCTCTTCCTGCTTCCAGTCTCTCTGACTTTATCTTTTGCAACCAGTGGGGGGAAACTCTCTGCCTCTAAAGGTCTCAGTCATTAGGTTTGCCTACCTGGATAATCTCCCTATTTTAAGGTCAAGCAATTAGTAACCTTAAGTACTTATTTCTCTGCAGTCCCTTTTGTCATGTAATCCCGATGGAATATTAGAAAGCTGAGACTCATGGGGGCCATCTTAGTTTCTGTTTATAACACCATTTTATAAGTAAGGAAACAGGCTCAGAGAGGGTAAATGACTAGGCCGAGGTCACCGCTAAGTGTCAGAACCAAAATTCAGTCCACAATTTCTGACAACAAAACTCCTGTTCCTCTGACAGATAGAGGAAACTCCTGATTGACTTGTTTCTCTTGCCTGATTAATCATATCACATTAATCATACAACTCTTATTACATCATCTTCATATTCCCTAACGCTTCCAAAATTAAATTAAAAAAATTTTTTACCATGACACTCAAGGATGTTCAAAATATGACAGCTTTTCGTCATTATGTCCCACTTTTCCCCTACATATAACTTACATTTCAACTCTTCTCCTGGATGCCTCCTCACACCTTACCTCAGAGGGGTTTTTTTGCCAGTTTGATCCCACTGCCTGGAATGCACTCTCCCCTCATCTCCACCTGACAGAGATCCTGTCCTTCCAAGCTACTTCTTTACCAAACCTTTGCTGATTCTCTCCAACCAGATACAGTTCTTCCCTTCTTTGACGCTCCATTTAGGTTTTCTTTTGTTATTTCCTCTTATTAGTCTCCCAGTCTTATGAAATATCACTTGTATACTATAATCTCTTAGACTGTATGTTCCATGAGGGAATAAGTACCTTTGTAATCCCCACAGGCCCTAGGCAGTTCCCTTGTCCATTAGAGGTTCTTAGCAAGTAGAGTTGACTCTTAACACAGGTTTGAACCGTATAGATCCACTTATATGCAGATTTAAAAAAAAAAATTTTTTTTTAACGTTTATTTATTTTTCAGACAGAGAGAGACAGAGCATGAACGGGGGAGGGTCAGAGAGAGGGAGACACAGAATCCGAAACAGGCTCCAGGCTCTGAGCTGTCAGCACAGAGCCCGACATGGGGCTCAAACTCACGGACCGCGAGATCATGACCTGAGCCGAAGTCGGCCGCTTAACCGACTGAGCCACCCAGGCGCCCCCAGATTTTTAAAATAAATACAGTACAGCGAATATATTTTCCTTATGATTTTTTTAACATTTTATTGTCTCTATCTTATTGTAAGAATACAGTATATAATACATCTGACATACAAAATATGTGTTAACCAACTGTTTATGTTATCAGTAAGGCTTCCAGTCGACAGTACACTATTAGTAGTTAAGTTTTGGGGGAGTCAAAAGTTATATATGGATTTTCAGCCGAATGAGGGGTTGGTTGCCCCTAACCCCCACATTGTTAAGTGGTCACCTGTATATACTACATAGAGTAAAACAAAAGAGAATTCAGAACAGAGGAAATGGCTGTCGGAGTGGATGTCCCCAAGCAGTAACAGCAGCAGCCACAGCAGCAACTTCATGTAGTGCTTACTGTGTGCCACTCACAGTTCTAAGCACTGTACATATGTATGAATTCCTTTAGTCCTTACAGCAGTCTGATGTTGGAATTCTTTTCCCATTTCAAGGCTAAGGAAACGTAAGCCACAGAGACTTTTAAGTGACTTGCCCTGCTTGAATGTACATAGCTAATGAATGGCAGAAATAGAAAAAGGAAAAGAAAGCCAAAAGTAGTTTTGTGTAATGCCTTCATTGAAAGAAGAGTTGGTGAAAGAAAAGGAAGTGAGTCCTGAAAGAGGGAAAAAATCATGTTGCGCTGTGACTTAGACATCAAGGGGGAAAAAATTAGAGGATATAGTCTATGGTGTCATTGCTAAGTGAGGGTAAGATGAGTAAGCACTGAGTGAGACAAAGCCAAAGATTTGTTGGTTAATGTGTGCATGGGTGACTTAACAGAACAGTTTCAGTAGGATGGTGTGAGGACAGTGCAAATTGTAAAAGTTAAGGGGTGGACTAGTGGCGAGGATGTAAGGGCAACGTAGACTGCCTTTAGAGTAGCTTGAACTGAAAGAAAAGCAGGATCTTGCAGGGTAGTGTTGTCAAGGGCAAGGATCTAATACAGAGGGAGACTAAAGTTTCAGTAGGAACATAGAATAATAAAATGAACTAGTAGACTAGAGAAGTGAGCGGTATGAGGATGGGATCAAGGAAA